TACATTTCACCACCATGGTGTATTTATTTGTTTACTTTTAGTATGTTAAATTAAAAATTAACTATTTGATAATATTAAAATAATTTTAAACTCCAAACCTTAACCTTATATTAAAAGCAAATAGAAATAACAGTATTTTCATTCGGCTCTGCGGGAAAACGCTATATATTTAGGGAAAATTTTCTTTTTTGTAAAAAAAAAAAAAAAAAACTAACACGCTATTTTCAACTTTGCAGGAAAATAGGAAATGATAAGGCAAGGGGAGCCGCCTGATAGCGTGGACTAAGTCTACGGTTGCGAAACCAACACGTGGGTTGTGAAGATTGGTTGGACGACAAAATACGGATAGGCTTTTGGCGTGGGATACAACCGGCTACAGCCGGTAGACACGTCGCGATCAAAGTGGGCCTGGGGCGAAGGTAGTTGGTTGAAATTTACCAAATTTGGAAATTAAGTTTATCAAAAGGGATTTAAGGTAGGAGGATTACCATAATTGGAAGGTACTAATAGGGTGCAAGTATGAAATGCATATTTTTCTCCGCTCGTCCCTTTCTTTTCCGCCCTTTAAAAAAAAAAAAAAAATTCTACCTCCAAGTATAGGAAATATTTTAAAAGAAAAAGAAAAATCAAAATATTTTAGTATTACATATATAAATTATAATATGAATAATACTTTTTTAAAATTTATCATAAAATTATTAATGTTAAGACATTATGATTTTAAATATAACTTTGCAGTAAAGAGTAAAGGAAAGTAGCTAATATAGCAGAGCGCTCTCTGCATGTAAGAGTTACGGTGATTGATACCTCATACTCTAGTTTTTCTAGTGCCAAAAAAATTGTGGAGAAAAATATTCCTAACAGGTTTTTATTGAAGTCTAACTTGATTTTATATGTAGCACCTCAACATGTAAATGTGGTAAAAATAAATAAAAAATATTTAAAAGGGAAAAATAGAGAAGGGAGTAATCTTTTTCTTTTTGGTTCTTTTTGACTAAAGAGTAATCTTTATCCTAGGTATGTTGGATGTAATTTGTTGGAGCAGTGAAATTTATATAAAATATACAATTTGATTGAGTGGACCGACCTATAATTTGCCTAACGTCCTAACCTAGCTAGCCTAGTGGTCACTATAATAAATTATTGAATTTTAATTAGGTAAAGCATTGTATTGTAACAAAAATATCTAAAGAAGAAACCGTTTGTTAGCTTGGCTTAGTTGGACCAACAAAACCTAGTTTTCATATATAAACAAGATAAATAAAATTTGAATAATTTACCTTAAATTAAAGTTTGTTACTAATAATAATAATAATTATTATTATTTTATTAAAAAAGAATAATTCAAACACAATATATATAGTATTGTTAGCAATGAAATCTTATAATTCAAGGTGGTATTTCAATACCTCATGAATCCCTTTCGAGTAGTAATTTTGATGAAGCAAATAAGTTAATATGTATTTATTTATTTTATATTATATAATTATTTCAAAATTTTATTATATAAAATTATATATATTGTGTGTGAATTAAAATTTTTTTTAAAACTAACTAAAGAAGATAAAGAAACACCAAATACTGCAAGAGATAAAGCGAAAAACAAACAATGCCATTGTTATGTTATCCAACTAATTATTATTGGATTAAAACCCCTTTATAATAGAAATATTTTTGAAGGTTTTTAGGCGTGATGTTTTCCATAGCAATAAGAACGAGAATTTCACCATCTCCTAGAAGGAATCAATTCCATATATAGTCAAAGATTTCAGCTAAAGTTTTTCCCATTCTTAATGGGAAAAGTGTCGGGCTAGGATTTGTTCAAGGTATCGTGGTAACTAATCGTCCTAGGAAAGCAAAGCAACACCTTTACCCACTTTTCTTCCATCCATTTTAGCTCGTGCTTTGTGTGGAGAAAACATAGAATCCATCAAAATTTCATATTCCAATACCTTAATATCCCTTTTTGACTATCTCTTCCTTCATCTCTCTCATTTGTACATTGTGTAGTTCTCAACATAGAGGCTCATCTTATTGGTGGTAAAGTTTCACGAAGTACAGCAATAATGTATAGTAGGGATCAACATCAGTAGAAGCTTATATCATGTTACAGAATTTAACCTATCAATCGTTTACAAGACTTCAAATTAATTGGTTAAAAATTTAAATATTAAAAGTTCAAAAAAATTGTAATTTAACTCTCATATAATATAATAAACTAAAATAAAATTTTTGCTTCTTACTTAAGTACTACGTGAAAGGAATAGGGGGACTAAAAGAACTAAGCATCAGTACTTTGTAGTTAGAATTGTAGAGTATTAATTATTTTAATAGTGACATAATAATTAATATTTTATAACATAATATCATTTAGAAAAAAAAAATTTATATGCAAAACAATCTGATCTAATTATTGCCGGGCAGCTCCTACTTCTAGTGGACCAGCCGCCAATAAAGTAAGCAATAGAAAAATGGTAGGTATATTAATTATATTTTTTTATATTTAATTTTTACATTAGGTTGATTTTGTTTTTATTATAAATGTTATATATATTAATTAAATAATTAATAAAATTAAAATTATTTTAAAATTTTTTATTATAAATTAATTATAAAAAATATAATTAATATATTTTTTTAATGTGTTTTTAAACCACTTAGCATTTGCTTTAACGGGACATGTCATATATTTCCATTAAAAAAAAGAGAAGAAGAGAGTTTTAGATTATATTTAGTTACAGTTAGTAGAAAGTCTTTTTAAATTTAAAAAATTTTAACTGCATTAAAGATTATAATTTATAAAAAATATTATAATTTCTCACAAATTAATTATTTTATTTTATTTTTATTTTTATTTATAAAAATAATACATTTACAACAATTATGTTTCCACAAAACCTTTATTAAAAGTTTGAAACACACCAACCACTTAGTTAATAACGAGGGTACATCCGTAATTTCAACAGATTAAAAAGTAGTACGAGTGGCCCTACAATTGAAAAACAGAGAGAAATGAAAAACTCACGTGTTAACCATGTGTAAGTGAGCGCCGAACCTCGAACCCCGATCCATAATTTGTACCGTCATTACGTGGGTGCTTTCACTTACACACGAAATTTAATTTGAAGTATAAATTAAAAATATATTAAATATATATTTTTATTGTAAATTTATATTAAAAATAAAAATTAAATTTTAATGTATTAATTATTTAATTAAATTTATTTAATAATAAAATTAATATTAATTTTTATATTTTTTAATATATTTATAATAAAAAATATAATAAATATACCTCTTCTGCATCCTAAGTTAGAAAAGCGCTTTACCTTATTGTCTTTTCTTTTTCTTTTTCCAATTGCCTTAATTTCTCTCAGTTTAAACAAAAAAAAAAGTGACCGCCGACGTCTAGTGACTTGTTTGTTAGCAGTAATAAATAAATTTGTTCAGAAAACGAAAAAAGGGACGCCGACGGGACGGTGGACCGTGGAGGGATTCAATGGGATTTCCTATTTTCCGAATGCAAGTAAAGGGTAAGACTGGAAATGCGTTAATGAGGGGGGGCAATGTAAAACAATAAAATAATAGTAGTATCATATGGAAGAAATTGACGGGTGTCCAGGATCGGGGAGTTAACGGCGTGTACCATTGTTGACCGTTCAAGCTTTCCAGGGACTGCAGGGCCAAAAAAAATGCTTAGTAGAGAGACTGGGAAGGATGCCCTGTTTAGCGATAACGAGAATGGTTATTGCTACGAATCAAACTATTAACTTTAATTATTGAATTAATTGATAAATAAATATTATTTTATAAATTAAATTTAAAATTTAAATATTAAGTTTAATACTTTAGAAAATTTTTTCTAAATATACTAAATTATTATTTGAGTAAAAAATAATTTTGAAATATGTAAAAATTATTGTAAGGCCAAGCTAACCATAAATAAAAAAAAAATATTAAGATTACTAAATTTACCAATTAAAATGTGATAAGATTATGTAAAAAAAAACTTGTAAAGTCAGATGAAGTTGACTTCCAGACGTTGTATTCTATATTTAACAAAGGTTCCAGTCAGAAAAAGTATGGGTTTTTTATTTTATTTTTTATTTTTTTTTTTATTTTTCATGTGTAGTAAATCGAAGTTTATCGTAAGAATATAAATTTTATTATATTTAATTTAAATATAATATTAGTTATTAAATATAAAAAATA